GGAGCCCCCAGCCGCCCGCCCCGGAGGGGGACCCGCCGGTGGCATTGCCACTGCTGGCGATTTCGGGGCCAGTGCCATCCCAGCCGGACTCTGCGCGGAGGTGCCAGCACCCAGGGAAGCGGGTCCTGGAAAAACAGACCTCTCGGGGAGAGAGACTGAGCTGGGGGGAGGTGGTGTTGCCTTGTCTTTCTTTTTTTCTTTTTTCTTTTTTTCCCCCCCTTTGCCTTGGATTTTTTTTTTTTTTTGGTGTTGTTTTTATTTTTTTTCCCCTTCTCGGAAAGGCCCCAGTTAGGAGTTCAGATAGGAGAGGTGGATCTCATTGCTCCGGATTTTAGTTGGAGAAGTGTTGTTATGGTGTTGTCCTTCGTGCCATAATAACACTCTTCCAACACTGTAAATAAAGAGCTATTCACACCGCGGAAGGTAGTAAGAATAAAAGGGATTCGCTTCTCGCAAGCAGCTCTTCCCTGAGACGGAAGAAATAAATACGTTGGGGTAAATGAGCTGAGTTTTGTATTTAAGAGAGAAAGAACATGAGCAAAAAGAAACGCGTACCCAGCAAAACTCAAGCCTGTGCCAGGGCATTGCTTGAGGGGAATGACACCGATTCCCTTCAGTGCCTTTTAGAAAAAATACTAAATGATCCTAAAAGGAGAGATAGTAACATCTATGACAGAGTGTGGGGCCTTGATCAGGCACCAAAGGGGAAGAGAGGCAAACGCATGCTTTCTACTTAGCACGCAGATAAAATATTATTATTTTTTTTTCTGACTACACCAACTATGGGAAAATATTTCGCGAAGTGCTCCCTCCCTCCGCCCCCTCCCCAGCTCACTTATCTGGACAGCTGGTATTTTACTTGGGTGTGCTTCCTAAGCCAGGAAACTTCACCACATTTTTGTTAGCAGGCCCCTTGAAAAAAATAAAATTACGTATTAAGTAGTTTGCAGTTTGCCTAGCCGTGCTTCTCATTTTAGGTCATAGCTGGAGGGTAGGGATGGGATCTTCCAGGTTTGGCGTTATTTTAAGCTGTGGCGAAAAGTGTAAGATTCCCAGCTGAGCTGGTGCCTGCGTGAGCGTGTTTGTCGCCTTGTGCGCTCGGAGGAGAGGTCACTTTTGTCCTCTGCTCGTGGGGGCTGCGCGGGGGATGCGGCTCGGGCGCTGCGATTTCAAAAGGGGGGGGGGGAAAGAAAAAAAAGTGCCCACAAACCCCACCACTGAAACCAGCGGGTTTGTTTCAAAATATTGTTCACCCCTGCTCTGCCCCAAGCGATACTGCGAGGCGTGTCCGTGTATCCGTGGCTGTGTGTCCGTGCATTTGGGGGAAAAAAAAAAAAAAAAGAAAAAAAAAGAAAGAAATACTTGTTGATTAGAGCTCTTCTTTCCCCCTCTCCCCCACCCCCTCCCCTCTCTTTGTGTGCCACTGCCCGGTAGGCACCCGTTGTTCCCCCTCTTAGCTCTGGTCTTTGAGAAGTGCGAGCTGGCGACCTGCACGCCCCGGGAGCCCGGCGTGGCCGGCGGGGACGTCTGCTCCTCCGACTCCTTCAACGAGGACATCGCCGTCTTCGCCAAACAGGTCCGGCACCTCTCTCCCTCCTCCCCGGGCCCTTCACAGCCCTCCCGCCACCTCCTCGGCCCGCACGGCCGGGCGCTGGCAGGGGGCACCCCCCAAACACACACACACACACACCCCCGCACCCCCTCGGCGGGGGGCAGCGGCGGGGGTGCGGGCCGTCGGCCCGGCCGGCCCTGACCCTCCTGTGCCGGG